GAAACTAAATCATCCGCCATCGTCTTGTCTGTCTCACCCCACTCTTCTTGTCAGTCAGCTCGACTCACTCTCACTGGATAAATGAAATTTGATCTGTGATGCGACTGTCGTTCGGCACGCTGCATCGAGCAGTCGCGTTCAGTTTTTAATTTTTAGTGTCTGTTCTTTTACTGAACTAAATGATTTTTATTACTATAAAAAATCAAAACGACGGTGGTGGTCAGTGCCGTGGTGGGCAAGTGACGTAACCGGTGTTGCGGCTTAACACCGGTATCACTGTCAGCACCGTCTATCGCGGCAAGCCTATTTGGAAGTCGGAAATTCCAAGTTCCCAGTTGGAACTTTTAACTGAAATGCCCCCTCAAGTTGGAATTCAGACTCAGACTCCGAGGAACCACAACAACCCTGACTTTAGAGTCCAGTATGGCTTCTCAGAGCATCAACAGAAGTGAAACAGTAGTAATATATTGCATTTCTGTTCGTCTGTGTCTAAATACACTAAGTGGTGCAAACAGTACTGTCAAACCTCTATCTGTGGACATGATATGTTGGTGCTATCTTTTCAAAATACTGCGTTTTTATCGACTGGTATTGCTATCGGTGAACACGTCCATCTTGGTTTTCCGACTTGTGTACTGGAACGTTGTCAACTCGGGTGTGACATCATTCCCAGCTTCGACATCCGAGGTAAATGGATCGCAGCATAAACTCTGCAGGAAGATGGACCTTGAGTGCTAGACTTGAGAAACCTTGGAATAGGTGGTATATCATCTTTAGTGTGATGATTCATCTGGAAAACAAAATATGCTGCTTTCCTATACTGGACTAAATGCTCATCATGGTTTTACAAACAATTTAAATGATTTATTTCCCAAAAACATTAAAGTCAAAATGAATTGTTATTTGTAAACAATTTGCCTTCAAGACAAATTGTAGGTCTTGATTTTAATCTGTCAGGAATTAATTGGACCATAAAAAGAGTGTTACAAACCATAATGGAGTGCGACCTGAATGTGGGTTGCAAAAATGATCACTGATGGCTGTTGGTTAACATTATCCAAGAGCCTGTGTGCCCGATGTGACATCAGCGGGGATAAAGTCATTGAAAGATTGTGAAATGTCATTTATTTTTTAATGCTGTTAATCTTACCATATAATTGGAAAGTCACACACCACTAGGTGTTTCATGACTATTTCATGGAAGGAGAAAAAGGCTTTAAATGTGCTGTTCAGGCCAAGCTCACATGTAGGTGTGGACGGGTTGTTCACAGATTGTCTGTGCCGTCCTTAATGGCCCTGTGACCGATTTTTATTAGGCATAAAATTCAAAAGCGTTACAAGATCATTTAAAAAAAAAAAAAAAAGTGTATGTTAACCACAAGGCAGAGAACCTCAGTACTCCTACACATAAACAGACACTCCCTTATAGAGAAAACATATCGTTATACTTTTTCTTATTCTGAGATTCATGTTTTTATCTTCTTGTTTTGTCCCCTAGCAATACTACCAAGATTATTAAAGGCTTTTCTTTCACGCCTTAGAAGGTTGTAGCCATACAGCTCTCTGTTTCTTTCTTCAGCAGTGGACCACAATCCATTGAGAGTTTAAGTGAACTTCAGTGAAAAAGCATTTTCTGCTGCTTTGTTGTTACAGGGGCCACTAAGTGTTGTTTCTGCCTTCGCCTTTGAGCTGTGGCTTGTTCTGCCTGTCTTAAGAATCAAGAACCATTCATGCAGCCTTTTATATTTAGAAAAGATTTCAAACC